ACACACACACACACACACACACACACACACACACACATTGACATTAATACCCATGAATAAAATGGTTACAGGGATGGTAGTGCTCTTGGGTTCATCACCGACTCCAACTATCTCACTCATCACTGTGAGCTGTACATCAAATCAGGCTGGTCATCACTCGCAGCTCGCAGATACACTCACTGGATATCCTTCGTCTATAAGACCCTCCTGAACCTAGTCCCATCACATCTTACCACCTCAATACAAACATCACGTAGTAAATATTCCCTGCGCTCCAACAATCGAGTCCTCCTGTCAGTTCCTCCTGTCAGAACTGAAGTAGGGAAAAAAGCATTCAGCTTCACTGCCCCCTCAGCCTGGAACAATGTACAGACGGATCTAAAATTGTCAACACTCATCTCTCTTAAATCCTTCTTGTCGACCCTCTCTGTTTTCTAGTCACTAATTGTACGGTAAAGTTGTAAGTGATCTCTCATCTGACTTCTTGTTTTTGAGTTTTTACTATTTTGTTGATTATGTAATCAAAAGTATTTGATTGATTAATGTTACGTTATTCAGTTACAAGAAAAGAAAATCATTAGGATGTAATTTGGGAATTACTTCGGTCTGTTTGTCTAAATGACTGAATGTCTTCACCTTCTTTTATAATAACTTGTATTTTGAATTGTGTTATACTTTATTGTAATGTGAATCTTAACTCTGATTTACTCTGTGATGTGTTGTGCGGACGTCTTGACCAGGTCCCCTTTGTAAAAGAGATCTTGATCTCAATAGGTTTTCCACCTGGTTAAATAAAGGTTATTGATTGACTGATTGATTGATTGATTGATTGATTGATTGATTGATTGATTGATTGATTGATTGATTGATCCACAGAGCAGAGCTAAGTGCTGATAGGACAATGACACTAGCTGCGTTTCCATTGCAAATGTGTGCAAAACTTTGTCGATATTCTGTCAATGTCGAAAAACGCAGTTTCGCATTTGCGGTGTTTCCATTATGTAAGAAATGCCATTAAAGTCACRCGTGAATACGTTTGTTCTCGCGATAAGTCATTATAAACATGGCAGCAATGGATGTAAACACATAGCATGTTGCTACCATGGCATAGTGCTCACCATCAGAGAAGATGTCGGCGTCTTATCGAGGCTTTCCAGCAACAAGTCCCTTATAATTGGGAGCGACTATTGCGTTTTTGAGAAATTGTAGTCGGTGAGTTTACTACTTTGTTTTACAACTTTGGTGATTTTACTACTACTTCTACTTTCTGTTGTCTTCTTCGTTGTTGTCTTTTTTGCCAGTAGAAACAGCTGGTTGTTGATCACGTGACCTTCTGTGATGCAAAAAAAGGTTTCCATTGCAGTTTTGTGAAACACACCAATTTCGATATGGCTGAAAAACGACCTCATCCTAGCGCAAAAACAGTTTGTTGAAAAAATTAAGTTTTTTAAAATTGACTCGTTTTTCCTTTGAGCAAATTTATTTTCGAAATTCTAATTTTCATTGTCAATGGAAACGCAGCCAATGACAAGCTCCTCAGTCAGCTCAGTTATTGATTGATCCTGTGTTCTGAGATGTGTTTTGTTAGATGTTCTGGTTGGTTAGACAACAYGATTCTGATCCATATTTGTGATTTTTCCAGGTTGATTAATGGTATGAAWCAGAAGGAGGAGGCAGCCAGCACAGAGCGGCATGAGGACACCCARCAGGTCAGCAACACAAACAGGGATTTCTTGGTGACATTAGATGCTCGTGGTTACGCTCCAAGTGACATCACTGTCAGACTGGAAGGGCGGAGCCTGACAATAGTGGCCATGAAGCAAGCGGACGAAGAGGAAAACTATTCCTGCTCCTCCTCCTCTTCCTCCTCCTCCTGYTCTGCCTCCTCATCTTCAGCTTCATCTCAAATGGGCTTTGTGCAGAAGATAGACCTGCCCACTCACCTGGATCTGTCTGGCTTGTCCTGTTCCCTGATGCATGATGGGCAGCTTCAGATCCACGCCCCTGTTGCCAAGCAGCCAATCAGTGAAGAGAGCCAAGTGCCCATTCGGTACAGGACATCGCTGGAATTTCCCATCAGAAAGGACAATGAGGAACATAAAGACTAATGCATGTGCCACATACTGTCTCATACTGTTTTATATTGCTTCCTATTGTTTGATATGGCTTCATACTGTCTCATATTGTTACACACTGTCTTAATGGAACAGACAAGCACATCATCAAACAGCTCTGTAAAAAAGTAAAGTTTATAAATGTTCTRTGAAGATAATGTTTTTGAATTTGTTTTATATAATGTGCAATATGTATGAATAAATAAAATAAAGAACTATAACAGTAATTTATCTTGGAAATCAAAGAAAGTATTCTGGTTCAGAAATCAAAGACTTAAGTTGGAGGTGTGAGGATCTGTTGTCTTGTCTGCCTCCTTCTTGCGTCCTCTTCGTGCCGTTACTCTTTCACCTCAGTCCTCAGCTTTCATTCGTTCACACCTGTCTCTACTTGTCATTTAGCTCAGTTGTTTCCACTTCTCCCAGCTCTGTATTTAACCAGCCTGTTTCCACTACCCCAGCATCCGATCATTGTTTGGTTTCCACCCTGGCTCCCTCCCATGTGCTCCTGTTTTTGTTTTGTATTTTTTGCTGCCACCACGTCGGCTTTTTCTTTAATAAACAGTTTTACTTTGAACCTGTCTGTTCTGCCATCAAATGGGTCCYACCTCAGCCTCCAGACGTGACAGAMTGTTCGGACCAAGACAAGACCCAGTGGGCAAAGAATTTTTTGAACTCTCCAAGGAGGAAGAGCTTCTCGTCCAGAGGAGGACCCGTGCCTTTATCAACGCTGGAGACCCCTATGTGGACTTGTGGGTCTGGGGGGGTTGCGACGCAGGACTTTATAAGCCATTTTTGTTATTGCACTAGTGAATTTAATTTGTTTACATGGAATTGATGGTGTTTTTATAATTTTATGCATCTATATTTAGTTAATTTAGTTGTATCTGGTGAAAAGAATTAAGCTACTGAAGCTGTTAGCCTCTCCACTCATTGGATTTTATCTGCTTTGTTTTGTTGTATTGCATTGTGTGAATGAAGGAATGAATGTTCCAGCTGAACACCATCACCATTACCAAATTCCCCTCTGGGATCAATAAAGTATTTTCGAATTCGAATTGAATCAGAGAGAAGAAACAACRACTTTGAACTCAGCTGCCCCCTCTAGTTGTAAAATAAAATAATTTCAGCAGAGGATTAGAGTAGATATGAAAGACTGTTATCTACCTTATATTTATGGAAGAAAATTAAGGCCACACTCCTGTGTCCACCCACCCCCCCCTCACCCATCCACGCAAATAAGGTATATTCTTTGTTTTATGAACCTCAGAAACCATCCTTTAAAGAGGAGATTCTGTGGGGTTTTGTGTTTTTCTGTTATTTTCCTTCCTGTGTTCACGTTCTGTCTCCTCAGAGCTCCTCCCACTCCTGCWTGTCTTCCTCACARGTGTTTGTCATTTCAGTTTGTTTCAGTGTTGCTATATATTGTGTATGTTTGTGTTAGTCTAATAGCTCTGCATTGTGTTACCCCTCATGTTTTAGTCCTTGTGTAAGACGTTTGGGGCCATTTCCTTTGTTAAAAAAATAAGCTTTTTGTTTGAGCTCATTATGCATGTCTGCTTTTGGATTTAAACCATTTTACAACCATGATAATGAGATCTTTGTTTGAAACTTTGACATCTGAGGTGATGGATGATATTCATTTCTTCAAAGTTTAATGTTTTAATTAAACTTTTCATGTTTTATAAAAGCATCAACCTCAGCTGTTTCACTTTAGGAGCAACACAGACTTGAATCTAATGGACCTGCTATTTATGTATAGGTATAAAATATGAGACTTGTTTTGGTTTTCTAGTTTTTATTTTAATGTTTCGAAWATGCAGAAAACAACCAACAAAACATTAATCTAATTTCAACCACAAAAGCAAACTTTTTGACTACAGTTCTGATATCTTTTCCTGTAAACACCAACCATCACAGACTTGATTTTAACATTTATCACCAATAAAGAACTTTATGACTCTGTAATGCTTTGAATATATTTCAAATTTTAAACATTTTTATTCCTCCATTAGAAAATAAATCATCCCAATCCCTTCACCAGGTTTCAATAAAATCAGTTAAAGTATCAATTGAAACATCTGCTTCTTTCAGCTCTTTGAGTCGACTGTCACAGATCCACACTCTGGATCAGAACCAGGTGAAGCCATGGCGTTCTACAGTCTGCAGCATTCTCTATGGAAACCACCTGAGAAGAAAACAGAACCAAACTGTGACTCMATCAAACACAACCAGCACCAGCAAYGGCAGTAAACCCGTCATCTCACCTAACTGGTCCAAACCAGGTTGATCAGTGCAGSGAGTCCATATTTGGACCTGGTGGACCTGCGTCTTCGAGCTCTTTAACACTTCCAGGACATGAACACAGACAGAGACCAAGTTAATATTTTATTAAAAGAACAAAAAAAATTATTCTCATAAAATTAAAAAAACCTCTTCCACGGAACTGGTTGAGTTTGTTCAAATATAAATACAAAGATTGTAAAAAAATATATAGACAAGAAATTCATAAAGGTCTGCTTGTGAGGGTCTTTAACAGATGCTAGAATCTGGTGAAGACCCCATTATGAAAGTTTTAAAGGTGTTTTAAAATGMAGGATTGTTTAAAATGAAACGAAGATACAAAATTGGTTTCAGCTAAATAAATTATCATTAAATCTGTATAAAACAAATCACATAATATTTAGTTATAAATAAAAGTGTTGAAGTTCCATTTGGAGTCAACGGTGTTGATATCTGTAGAGTCAGTGAAGTGAAGTTTTTGGGAGTCATCACTGATGAAAAGATGACATGGAGATGTCATGTGAATTATTTAAGAACAAAAGTAGCTAAATCTATTACATTACTATATAAAGTAAGGGAGTTGTTTAATGATAAAGCTTTGTATATGTTGTATAATGTAATGGTTGTTCCACATTTAGTTCACTGTGTTGAAGACTGGGGGGAAAGCGTGTAAAACAATTACAAATCCTGTTTTTATTTTGCAGAAAAGAGCTAAAAGAATTATCACAAAAAACATTATGATTACCCATCAAATACAATATTTTGTCAGTTGAAATTATTGAAATTCTATGAGTTGGTTGATTACAACATTTTGCAGATTGTTTATAAGGCTCATAAAAATATATTACCTTTGAACATCCAATCGAGTTTTGTTTAGAGACAAGTTACTACAATTTAAAAGGGACAGAGGTCTTTGTGAAACCTAAAATCTGAACTTGTTTGAAGGAACGATGTACTTTAGTGCAAGGAATAAAATTGTGAAATAATCTGGAGAATGATATTAAAAGTGCAGGATCAATGTATAAGTTTAGAAGAATGGTAAAATCCAGTCTGTTGAAGAAATATGAAATTGCATAATATGTATCCTTAAAAATTGTCAGAGAAAGATTTTAGGTCTTGATTAATTTTTTTCCAGTTTTTTTATTGTTTGAATTTTTTTTGATGTAAAAAGGTGCAGATATAAGATTTTTTCTTCCTTCTGCTGCCTTTCATTTTATTTTTCATAGGAATTTTTTGTATAC